TAAGACAATAGCATCTACCATTTAAACGTTTACAAATAAGTTTAAGAATGTTTAATCTTTTAAGGCAAGGAAAGACCCGCATTTGCTTAAGGTAAAACAGTTGTTCACAAGCAACGAACAAGCTGTACAGCGTTGTTTTCGCTTGTACGTGCGCTGAATACTATTACAAGTCCTTTATTTTCTAAATGAAATAAAGGATTTTTGTTTTAGTGGGCACTTAAGCCTAAATTAGGTTTCCCCAAGGGATGTGGATGAACAATGTCTGCTAAAGCAACTTCTTTTCAAAGGCACAATTACTTCAGTTCCGGCATAAATGTTGTAAAGGCAGGGGACACGCTAAAGTGAAATTATGAAATTGCACAAGTTAAAATGTTCCTTGACACATCACAAGTCACTAAAAAGCGGCCTCTTTTCCATATACACGAAGGACATGAACAACGACGCTTCGAGTCATTGCTGAATAAAGTAAAGGTGGGTGGAGCGAGATAACTGGTTTTGCAGCTACTCCACCAAAGAATAGTTAACAAGTGTTTAACAAGTATTGTTCGCCGAGTTTTGAGTCAATGAAACTTCAAGAACGATGAAAAAAAGACGGCTTGTTGATGGATCTTATACATTTTATTATTGTTGTTATCAAGTATTGCTGTACGTTCAGGCTGATATGAGTTTTTGACAATGATTTTGAGAAATTTCTTTAGATATTGCTACCTCACATACCTGTCGAAGTGTAAACAAGACAAAAGTTAAAGGTAAATTAAGGTGTCCTTATATTACGTCGGTAGCTCGAGATAGAGTCATCATCGGGCTAAAAGCAAACCTAAGGCGGACAAAAACGGACACAAACTGTGTACAACATGAAGAAAGCTTTGTTAATGTAAAAATATGTCCTAGATAATCTCATTTAAGGCTCAGGTTAATCGAAGTTGTAAATTGTTTTCTATTCGTGGTAAATAATAATAAAGTCGTTCTTAATTGACAGTTACCCTGGTGATTGTTTCTTGACGTGTTTAAACTCGCCTTGTAACCATGACGATATTATTTACCTTTTCGTCCAGCTTTTAATCCTCATCCTACCAACTTATTTTGCATACAAATCACACCAACAGGGCATTCTCGGCCCCAGTGCTTACGGGTTTGGGACTGCGCGCATAAGACAGAGACAATCTTGCTCCAGGGTTCCCAAGAGCTCTTGATCTCTCTCCTCTACATGTGCAGAAGAGCTTTGGGTCGAGATTGACCAACAGGGGTCAAAACCGACCCCATGACAAAAATAGCTTAAAAAATTATACAATAGTTTATATTACGTTCGATTATAATAATAAAAATAATAATAACTGTGAATGCAAATATTAATCTTGCTCCTGGCAATTATAGGAATATGTTTAAGTGACAAATTTACTTCCTAGGTGATTTAAACATCTAAGAAAACAACTCGTAGCCTGCGAAAACATCCGTTTCTCCACGCTCTTCGCGGCTGGGGACGTTAATTCGCGTTAAACGTCCCCAGCGCGAAACGTTCCCAGCGGCGAAGAGCGAGGAGAAACGGATGTTTTCGCAGGCTAAACAATTCGTGGATCAAAAAAGCAACATTGCCTTAATGGACCAAACCATGAGCTGCCCTACAAGGATCAATAAGCTTAGGCACAGGAGTTTAGAAAAGTCAGTGAGGTGTGGGGGACGGAGGAAGGAAAAAAAATTAAAAAGGAAATACTGAATCACTCCCCACACAGCCTATGAAAAGACAGAAATGTAGCTCAAGGACATCACCAGTGCTTACGTTCCCTGCTCTTTTCCAACAGTCTTGGATTTACAGGGCTGCTTAATAGCAGTCGCGTGAGGGAGAGAGGCAGCGCCTTCCGTTTGCACAGATTCAATAATGTTAGACAGCTAAAGAGACCCAAGTGCAAAGTATAACTTAGCGAGGGCTTGTACATTAATTCTAAAAATCCTCCGACTGTATTTCTAGGAAGACTCACGTTTTGTTAACCACGTTAAGGAGAATTCTTGAAGAAATTCATCAGGCTAGTGAAGTTAATATCGATTTAAATTTTTTCAAAACATAGCCAAAGTCTTTAGGCCTTAATCATGCTGACAGTTTCGATGACTGTCAGCCATCTTATCAAAACCTGGAAAACATCAAAGGTGTCAGAAGCCTTAAATAGGCTTCTGAAGGTGTTAATTATTGCGATAAACGCGCAAAGTCACTCTGTCACTCTCTCAAGTTAAGGAGAAGCTTACTAAGTTGCTCCGAGGCTAACCTTTCAACTGTGCAATGTTTTCTAAATAGACGCTTAAAGCGTAATTATATTTCTCAAAATGTTAACATCCGCAAGCTCCTAAAAAAACAAGACGGAAGAATTTACAGCAGAGTGTCTAAGTCGGCAGGCCACCCTCTCTATCAAATGCTTCCCAAAGCAAAGGAGACTAAGTCGGTACCAGCTGCGTCGTAGTTCTGCTCTTAGGCCGAAAAATGAACACCCAAAGGTTTATGAACACTTTTAGAAATCGTTTAATATTTAATTATGACTAAGCCATTTACATTTTTGTCTTTATCTTTTTTTAGGGTTTTTACCATGTCTTTTTACCATTTTTTTTTGTCTTTTTAATATAATATTCCATATTTCTTAGCCATTTATGCTTTTCTTTTTAATTTTTTATCTTATCACTTTACCTACATCATATATTTGTGACATTTGGGTCTTTTCTGAATAGTTGTAGCATAGAATATGTATTTTTATTCAATGAAATAATGACATACAGTTATTATTATTAATTCGTGAATGACGATGAAATGTTGAGATGTTGAAGGGACGGAGACAAGGCCAATGGGCTAGACGGTCATTATCTAGCTGAATAGCCTAATTGTCACAAGCTGGCATCATCCTGTGTAAGACCCTGTTTGCTAACCTTAACTGGAGGGGGTTGAATTTTGGGTTCCAGTAGCGAACGCTCAGTAATTTCCTATGTCTAAGCGCCTTTTATAATGTTGAAAGCCAGGGTGAAATTCAAAAAGTGCGATCAAAGGATGCACTCACCCTCTCTCCAGCCTACAGGCCCAAACCCCACAAATTGCTAATATTGGCCAAGCCTAATTCACTCGCCAGTGAGATCAGGCACTGAAACAGTTGACTTGACCGGGTAACAACGACTCCAGCATGTCAAGCTCCAGATTTTGACTATCATGTATTGCTACTTCAAACAATGATGAAATGCCTTAGAATAGAACTAACGATACAACTCAATAATAATTTTCTTAATGCTTGACCAACTTCTTGCTTTCCTCGTACAATTATACTGATCAGTAAATGAAAAAACTGATTTGTTTTTCAAACTCTATTGGACACGTCCCGATCGTGTTCGCGTGTTCAAAAGTAGAAGAGTTCACGATATTTCGTCTCTCGATGTTACAATATCATTTTGCAATTTCTCTATCTTTAATCAATTTAACAATGTATTCTTTTGTTCTGCTAATGTTAAACGAATTCCTTTGGCAAACCGTCACGAAAGCCGCAGGCAAATAAGGACCAACTCTCTCAGAAGCTACCTTCTAAATATTCTAATCCGTTAGGGCGACTGAACTGTTCACAGAAGCTTCACTGAGCTACTAAACAACATCACTAACATAGTGTTCATATCTTCGTTAGTTTGTGTTCAATAATTAAAAAGTGACAGAAGAGAAGGTATCAGAATGTAATACGCACGAGTGGGGTTATTGTTATCAGTTATTAAACCTGTTTATAGTGTTCGTGCCGTTCCGGTTTCCGCCACGGGCTATAAATTGATGTATGTCACGTTTTAAGCAACTTTGCATTTTCAATCAATTTTCTCTGCTAGAAAACGAGTCAAGCATTGTATTTTCAATGGCTCAGCGAGACTACGGAGGAGAGGGTATCGTGATAGGGTTGTACGAAAAAACTAGGCAATTTCAGATTGAACGGACGTTAAAATCGACATTAAACCTAAAAAGACACCCTTTTTCAAATCAAAAATTGTCACCGGCGATGACCTTCCCTTTCGGTCACCCCATAGGCAAGAAGTCTAATCCCTACCCCACCCCAACTCAGGCATTCATAGTTGTCCACTTCGCACTATATAACATGACCTCTGAATGCCTATCAAAGGTTGCCATTATGATCGAAAAACAGCTTCTCCCTACAACTTTAAAGAAATGTAGGACAACCAGTAGGGAGAGGAAAGAGAGAAACTTGGACCGTTTGCTCGCAAACCTGAAGGCGATCTTTCTGCAATCCATTCAGGACTCATTCAGCAAATTTCGAAGACAAGGCATTTCACGAGCTTTGAGTTGCTAGCTGTACCTCTTTTGAAGATCAATTACTTTCTCGATCAAAAACGGCGTCCCATAGTCCCAAAATGACATTTATCTTGACTTAATGTTTAAAATGCACTTGTACTTGTCATGGCTGAATGCCCAAGTGTTCAAGAAACTTTCAACTAAATAATCATTAATCGCAGTGATCTATCAATTCCTGGCTATTGAGCAGCTATTGCGACCCAATCCCATGGTTATTTAGAGTCAAACGTTTCGAAAATTGTGTTTTTCCTAGATTAACATTTGGTAAAAACCGACGTGTGTTGTCATAATTGATCGAGCCCCTTATTTAGCCCTAAGGGCCAGGTGACTGTCATTAACATTTCGTTTAATCTCTCAAAGAATTTTGTTTACATTCAGAAAACTCGTAAACAGCGTATTGAGTTAATTTGCGCAACAGAAATCAAAACAAGTAACTTTTGCCAGCAAAGCAAATCAAGCGTACGTTCGCGTGTACGACGTAGCATATCGTGAGTTGTTTGTTTGACGCGTTTATTTCGTGAGAAGCTCTTTCAAAAGGATAACAAAGAATTACGAACGGAGAAAACAAAAGTGCTTAATCACTTGAAACTCTTATAAAGGGTAACTCAGCACATGCAAGGCGAACATTTTGTGAAAAAAAGGTGTGAAGGAGGTGTGTACTTATCCCTTGCCACTCGAAAGTTGAAGAATGGAGTCTGACATTTCCACGAGGAAAGTGATCGAGGACTTCGAGGGAATAACCCTCGCAAAGAATACGGTCATAAGAAAGAGAAAGACCTCCCTTTTTGATCCTACGGAGCGACCCAAGATGCGAGATGAAGATCGCGGGGTTGCCGTAATGACACATGCTGACTATCCGCTGCGAAGTCGCTCTCGATCGCTTCCGGCCGACCCTGATAAAGTTAAAATTCCGAGTGGTTTCGTTAGGGAGAACGTCGGCAGTGTGATTCAAAACGTTTTGGAGACGAAACTGAAAGGGAAAAGATACGATGCAAAAGAGAGTTCGGCGCTCACAAGGCAACTGGTCAATACGCTACGTGAAAAAGTTTCCGCCCTCGAAATGAAGAATTATAAATTCGTCTGCACATGTTATATCACTAAGAAAATGAAACCTCCTCCGTCCATGCAGAGTGGATGCGCCTGGGATGAAAGCGCAGTCGGCGTGGAAAAGGACGGTTTTGCTGAATATATTTACAAGAGCGACGAGCTGATTGCGGTTGCTACAGTGTACGGGATTTACGGAGAAAGAAGGTCAGAGAGGGAAAAGTACATCAAGAAGATTAAAGGATTTGTTCACGCTCCGATCCCAGAGTAATAGCTGATTTCTGTTCAATGCTGGAGTAAAATGTCTCATGATAAACAGGGATTCCAATGGTCAGGGCGATTCAGTCATTATAAACAACATTCTGAGCAGATATAAATATCGCTGTTGTTGACTTAGCATTAAGTGTTAGTATCAACTACTTACATCAACAACACTGACAATGTTATGCTAACCACGTAGCAAGAAAATGTTCAGCAAGAGAAAGTGTCAAACCTACTACAGTAAACCCTTAGCCCGGAAACCCCTCAATTATATACAGTTCAATTGCTTCCGAAAATACAAAGCGTCATACAATTTCTACCTATATTATACGGTGGACACTTCTGCAGAGCTTGGTTCACGTTTGAACCTTTTCACAGAATCCTTAAGTGACTATTCGAATGGAAAAAGGTTTTCAAACTTGCTCAACTTTTCAACTAGTCAAAGGGTCAATAATTCTTAAGAAACTAAAGTGATTAAGCTCGCCACAAGCCAATTTGCCCCAAAGATTGTTTGCCTCTGTACGGCTTCAAGCTTAAAGAACTAAGAATATACACATTTTATACACATTGTGGTGTTGGTTAGTACTTTTCTGCGGGCGAGTTCGTTCGTTGACTTAGTCTTTTCTTACAGCAGAGAATGTAGGCAGATCTCAATTAGAGACCACCACTGGAAGCATTGGGAGACCAATGTAAGGTAATTGCCTATCAATCAAACGGATTTGTAACTTCCTTTCAAACAAATAGTTTTAAAAATGGAAGTCAAAGATCAAAAGAAACGTGTGTTTCTCCTCGAAAGTAACACACCCACACTGATTTGATTTTAGATTTGACATAATTTTCATAGCCTAGTTGATAATAATATTATTGTAATATGCAGGTCAGATCTTGTCCACGTGCGGTGAGCTTTAATTTAGTTTCGCCTGGAGTCTCACATGAGGGAAGTCATGCAAATATAGTTGCATTTCGGTGTCTTGCGTGGACTTTGGCTTAATAGCAATTAGCTATTGATATAAAAACGTATTTCAGATTTAACGAAGCAAGAACACAATGTTGTTTTTACATCACTCTGCGCCTTTGTAAACAAACAAAATTATTATGATACAAGCAATTTAAAACTGTTTGTAATGAAACTAAACATACAATGGAAATACATTACTACGAAAACCGACAAAGTCGCCAGGATTTATAAGTTAAAGAAGGCAGACTATTAACGATAGTTGGTCTAAAACATGCAAACATGAAATAAAAAAGATGTAACACCTTTGTTCGTGATTGATTTTCCTTCTAACTGTCTAGCGTGACACTTTACAACACTGATCACGCAATCTCTCATTGAGAGATCGAGCACATTAAACCTGAGCAAGAAAGGAGGTTTCTTATTGCAAAGAGATAGCATATTTGCGTTTTCACGTTACTTCTGTCAGATAGGACATTACTGTACATAAGAAAGCAAAGATTTATATTATTTGATATTACAAGCCTTTCTTTAGCATTTGTATGAACAATGGTCACAAGGTATTTACGACCATTTACTTCCCACGGACCGGCTACAATTCGCTAGCAGTCATCTGACGCTAGCACAACTACAGGCTGCTGTAAAGCGCTCTACACCACCCCTTTAAAACAACTATAAAATGAAATTGATCATATATTCCGCCGGACTCCCTTGCGAATCAAGTTCATAACAGCTGTCTTTAATCATACAAGATTTCCTGACGGGGTAGGTGCCAAGACTGCCAAAAATGGTTTCTGATCTTCCTTTCTTTTAAACGCTACGCTTTCGTCGTTAAAGAGTAAGTATTAAAAAGAAATTTGTCGAACATTTTTCCTACTTAGGCTACGATAGTTTCCGAAGAATAGCAAACAGAAGTACGCGTACGAGTGCTGCACAAATACATGAACCCACTGTTTCAACAAACAGCTGAGTTACCTTTCAGCCTAAGTAAATATATAATCCTACCTTTCACTCTGCTCGCCTTTGTCCATGTTTTTCTTATCTTCTTGTGTAAATATCCTGCTTTCCTCTAGGTAAACGGTGAGTACAGTGAAAATAGCCGCCGCCATTTTGAAATTTCCCGCACTCAATTCCGTCCCAGTTTCCAGTCGGTTCTACGCCGCCAGCGTAAACCTGAGGCCAAGTGGGGATTTTCAAAATGGCGGCCGCGGGATGAGAGGAGAGAAAAGCAGGGATTTACTCAGGTACACCTGGAATTCAAAGACCAAGCAAAACAGAACTAGAGGTAACATTATTTCCTTATTGTAGTTTAGAAGTACATTAAACTGTTTCCTTGGAAACTTTCTTCCAGCGAGATTGCATGTTAAAAATATCAACCGTGTGTTTTGTGCCTATTCTCGCTAGCCTATAGCTAGTGGCCGACCAGATTTTCATATTTATTTTGATCATATACATATGCGCGTTATAGATCGTTTTCACTGTCACGCAACAAAAAAATAAATTGGAAACCGTCCAGTGGAAGAAGCCAAGAAAATGAAATGTTATAAAAGACTAATATATAAACAATTTGTCCAAGCCTCAGGTCTTTGTGGCCCACCGTTTCTGAGTTATCTGCCGAAACGTTTCACGCATCTTTGTGGAGTTTTGTGTGGAGACGCTGGAAATCAACAAAAAATATCTGGAGTTCACTTTTTCTATAAAGCTCTTTCTTTTCACTCGAGAACTAGCATACGTGCGCATAAACATATCTTCTAATACTTGAAATGGTTATACTGCTGAAAATCAAAGGGGTGGCGAATGGTAAAATCCGAGACTCGCCGAGACGCCGAGATGCTAGTTAGAAATCCGAGCCCGAGACTCTTTGGGAAAAATTTTCGAGACTCAAAAAAAGTAAAAACAAACCATGCAAAAACGAGACTTCGAGTTTTATCAAAAACGCTTCCGAGATTTCGAGATCCTGCCAAAATTTTCCGAGACCCACGTTTTTCGAGGTACCATTCGCCACCCCTAATCAAGAGGAGAGACTTTTTTTCAACGAGACAGCATTCCTATTTTGGTGTTACGCACTGTGAAAACTCGGAAGTTCAAATTGCTGTATTTTCAAAATGAAACATGCTACGGGAATGGAAACTTGTACAAAGGTTTACTTTTTGTTTATCATCAACCTAGTGTAAATAAGAATTCGTAAAACCTCGCTATTTTGACTTTACAATTTGATGACGTCACTGTGAAAACCATCAATAAACTTATTATTATTTATTCAGATGAAGAAGTGAATAAGGGACGGACCATTAGAAAAGTCATGAGGGGAGGAGAGGTGAATTTTCGAGCCACAAGAATTTTTTTTTTTCGTTAACAAATTCCTTGTATGAATTTTTTTTAGGCCAAAGCAGGAATATTTTTTAGGATTGATTGGCGTGCGTGAATTTTTTTTCGTTTAATTTTCCCTTGCGCGAATATTTTTTTTTGTACTTCGCCCGCCCCCTCTCCCCATAACTTTTCTAATGGTCTGTCCCTAAAATATTGCATAATAAAAGGACACGCTACTATAGTTACTATGTATTGATTACTAAAACTCCAGCTATCCTTCACTGATTTTAATTAAAATGCGTCTTAAGATGTAAATAACAATAATCCCTCAGAGAACAAACTAAATATATTTAACCCCTTTTATATTAGCTTCCGCTCAAGCCACTGTTATATATACTGATACAACATATATTTTCACTCAGAAGAGAGAACTAAAGTTCTTCTCAGCTACTAACTCATGCATAAGTGATGACAGAAATTACTTGAACTCATAAATTTATTTAATTGAATTCTGGTGTATAAAGTCCACTTTCTTCCATAGCAACAGGGTGGCATAATTGACCCTAATAAACTCTTATAGCCAGATTTAAGATCTGGCTTTTGTTTTCTTAAGTAAATACAGCCTCATAGAGATTTCAGCTAAAGTAAAGCCTATACCAAGATTAAAGAACACCGCTAAGAACCCCATTCACGCCTCAGTATAGATTACAAGTAACTGTTTCTTTGACATCTTTTACACAAGAGTGCTAATATGATTTAAATTCGAGAAAAATCCAAAAACCTGTTTTGTAAAAATACTGAAAAACAAATAGTAAAATGGGAAGAGGAGCTAAGAGGCTTCATTTCAATGGTCATACAACAGGACTTTATCCACACACTCAAAAATTTATCTACGCGTCTTGTATATGAAAAGCTTAAAGACTACTCGTGCGTTGAATATCATGCGATACACACTCATATCATCCGGGGGGGGATCCCATATATCTCACAATCATTTCGGCAAAATAAGAGTCTCTTAACACAATATACTTTCGCAATGACACACCTGACAAGCTAAAAAGCGTGGGCATTATAGTGTTGGATTTTGCGGTTAGCCATTATTGAGGATCAGTGTTTTATATTTGCGGGTTTTTGATTTAAATGTCCTTAACGACCTTAACGTTTGTGTAAATGCGGTTTAATTAAAGGAAAAGGTGCTTTTTTAGGCATCCAACTTTCTTTCTGGCTCCATTTTGGCTGGGTGGTCTATTCGTGAGTGCACTGAAATTCTCTAAAGCTTTGAAAACAGTTTCAAGGGCGTACAGAAGTTCTTTACAGATCATATCATAATTTATGATTGGCCCTTTGATCGTCGGAGTCTGCGGTAAACTGCTTTATTGCAGCTTCAGTTGGTCCCAATATTTCTAAATGTTAAGTGGGAAGATATGTATCTCATGACTGAGAAACTGCAGCCGAACGTGTCTGCACTATTACTAATTATGGAAAAAATTCGTTGCTCAAAAGNCCCCCCCCCCCCGCCCCTGCTTTCAAACACTCATAAGACTCACGCAAAAGACGTCTATTCTCGATAAACTCCGAACACAACCGCTGAGGCAAAAACGTCTTCGCCGCAGAACGAAGATGAAGCCAATCGATCAGTTGCAGTATCCCAGAGGCAGCGACTGGCTACTCGAACTCCTTGGTTGTTCAATTTTCCGATGGTCACCAAACACACAAGTTTGTATCTATCAAAACCCATCACCTTGACCTTGTCTTTTATTTCGTCGGCTATACTGGATAGTAAAAACTTGCATTTTTCCGCATCGTAAGAAAAGCCCTCCAGCCGGCTTTCCAACACGCTGTCGATGGCGTCCTTCACGTCTTTGCTTCGAAACCGTTTATCCGCGTCAGGACTGAGCTTGTACGTATTGGCGATTTTCGGCGCCATCGGATGGACTCCGCTTTGAGCGCCTGCTTGATGAACCCTTGGGTAGATAGAAACTGATTTTGTTCCTTTGGAATCAAGGAGAGTCATCCCGGCTTTAACATCAGTTACAGTCATTGAACTTCGTCGACTAGAAGCTTCACTTGCCGGCATCGCTAGAATTTACTTAACCCGGCTAACAATCTTTCAACCAGTGTTCAGTTGTAGTCTTGCCTCACAGGACACCAGGATGTGAGTCTTCGCACGTTCTTTTCTAAACGATAATTCACTTTAAACGATTTTCCTTAACTTCCTGCATGAAGAACATAATCCAGGTTTCCGTTTTTGAAACAACCTTTTGTCTCTAACAATAGCGTGGTTTTTCGTTATTGCTTGTTATATAACAATTATATGTCACCCGCTCCAATAGGTTCCTTGGCGGATTTTAAAATGAGATTGGGGTGTAAATAATGTGTCATATCAAATGAGTAGTTAATAAGAGATGTTAATAATTGACTCTACTGCCCAAACAGTTAAGTAATAATTTTATTGGGCAAAAACCTCAATAAAGCGGTTTTTAATATATCTATGTTTTTTGACATAAGGGTAAAATTAAGTTTATGTGACAGGTCAATAAATATGTTATGCGTTTATTTTTAGCGGAAAACTAATACCTTAGCGATCTGTTGTTGTTACAGTACTGGCCCCGGTTGTTCAAACGTTGGATAGCGTTATCCACCGGATAAATCACTATCCAGCGGATAAGTATTTGGGAAACCAATTGCACTATCCACTGGATAGAGATTTATCCACCGGATAGCACTATCCACCTTTTGAACAACTGGGGCCTGGAGAAAATAGCTATGCAGTCGTAATTTTGGCTGATGAGAATGAAAGTCTTAGAACAAGCGAGGCGTAAGATTTTCTATAAATACGGACCCTAGTTGACAATTAAACAAAATATCAAAGTACGCTGTGTTCAGGGTGTTTTTTGAAGAGTTATAATCGGACTTCATGAGCTGGAAATAAATTTAACACGAGGTTCACTTTGGAGGTATAAGGAGGGGGTTGAATAGGGGTATGCAAATTCACCGATCCGTTATGATTTATTTAAAAAAATTCGCTCTGTATTCGAAATCCGGGAAAAAATATTTTCACAATCCGCCGATCCGTTGGCCAATTAACCCCTTCTATTTATCATTTAACTTCAAAATGGAGTTATTTTCCTATGTGGTATATTCTTCATATTGTATTGTTCTCCATGTACATTTGTTATGTTTCTGATGAAGAGGTTTTAATTAATCACGGATCAAGATCCTCTTTACTAGTTGATGATTTCCTTTTTTCTCACGACGTTTATGTGTGGACCGTGTTGCTGTTGGTCACTCATAGTGATTAGTGAAGGGTCCGGTAGCCGGAGAGGTACATTGTCACCTAGTCGTGTAGTGACGGCAAAGAAAGGTACAAAAAATTGTGCTGCACTGGCAAAGTTGTTTTTTTGTGCTAATCAAACCCGTTTGTATTGCTTTATTGACGTTCTCGCTGCCGTCGCCGTCTTCGTTCTAAAGCTCCCTAACGCCCCTATAGCGGCGAGGTCTGAGGAAAGATGGCAGTATTCGCAGGCAAGGATTTAGAGTGTGTGCTCGTTTGACAGCTATAAAAGCACTACCGACTCTCGTGATACTGTTGGAATTTGCGGTAGCTCACAATGGTTCTCAGCATATTTCAGAAATTATACTGTTTTATATTAATAATACATAATAATAAGGATGGCGCAGTGGTGAGAGCGCTCGCCTCCCACCAATGTGGCCCGGGTTCAACTCCCGGCGTCGACGCCATATGTGGGTTGAGTTTGTTGTTGGTTCTCTCCCTTTGCTCCGAGAGGTTTTTCTCCGGGTACTCCGGTTTTCCCCTCTCCTCAAAAACCAACATTTCCAAATTCCAATTCGACCAGGAATCAGGTAGACGAAGAACCACCATGTGAATGTGCTACCTGCAAATCGTTATTTATTTATTTATTTATTTATAATACTACTTCGCTTTTTTCAGTTGTGCATGGTGATTCCTAACACACCAAAAAGTGGTCAACAATTTCACAACAAGTTACCGTCATTTTATTTGCAAGTTACCATGGGGATGGCATAGCCAGTTGAAAACACCCTAATTTTAGCTATACGCGGGCTTACTAAGAAAAACTAAAAAAAAAAAGCATTTCTTATTGTATCAAGTTAGGGTCATTTTCTTGGCTTTTCAAGTTACCATAGCAATGGCATAGCCAGTTAAGAACACCCTTAATTTTAGCTGCGAGGGCTTAAATCAAAAAAGAGTTCGTGATCGCAGTTCCTTATCATTGAATTTGTAAATCACCTTGTCAAGAATTAACTTTAAACTCTCGAAGTTTGAAAAAATTAACAAGCGGGTTCATGTAGCGGTTTCCTTTCATAACAAATTTAAGGTTGACTCAGGCTTCAATGTATAAATGCAAGGCACGAGGCTAGAGAGTGCAACGAGAAAGTTGACAGCAGCTTTAAATAGCTACATTTGTTTATTCGTAATAAATTGCTCATTGAATTAATAACGCACTATGTTTTATTCAATTT